AAAAAAAAAAAAAAAAAAAAAAAGGTAGGTAGCTCTCTCCAGCCTAATGTGGATGTGGATTTTTCATGCCAATCCTGGCAACTCACCAGGTAGGTAGTCATGGTGAATGCAGGCAGTTAACATCCCACCAGGATGGTTCCCGTGTTGTATGTTATTTAGTTTCTTTTACTTACCTACTTGAATACTTGGATAAACCATTCACCAGTTTTAATCCTTTGACATAAATAATTTGAACACTTTGACAAGTTACACAGCACTTCTTTGGCATTAATCCAATTTTAGTGTGCTGATAAAAATAAACAAAAAGAAATATGCTTTCCCTTGATTTTGATGAAGTGATATAATTTTTACTTTATTTGTATTGAATTTCAGCAGTTAATTTGGACATTTATTTATTTATACGATGTTTGTATTTTTAGGTCTTTAATACAGTGTTTCTATCTATCATTAGCAACTGCATGCATTGTTCTTGAAACTAGGTAAAACTCACTGAATTGCTGTGTAATAGCCTTCTTATTATTGCCTGTATAAATGTATGTTAAGGTAAAAAACAATAGACACCGGTGTGGATGCAGAGAGAAAGAAACGCTTATACACTGTTGGTGGGACTGCAAATCAGTACAACCTCTATGGAAAACAGTACGGAGATTACTCAAAGAACTAAAAGTAGACCTACCATTTGATCCACTAATCCTAGTACTGGGTATTTACCCAAAGGAAAAGAAGACTTTTCATCAAAAAGACACCTGTACCCGAATGTTCATTGCAGCAATTTTCACAATTGCAAAGATGTGGAATCAACCCAAGTGCCCGTCAATTCATGAGTGGACTAATAAAATGTGGTATGTGTATACCATGAAGTGCTACTCAGCCATAAAAAAGTTGAATTAATACCTTTCTCAACAATCTGGATGGAACAGGAGACCATTCTCCTAAGTGAAGTATCTCGAGAATGGAAAAACAAACACCGCATGTACTCACTATAAAATTGGAACTAACCGATGAACACACATGTGCACAGAGGGAAGTAAAACTCAGTGGAAATCAACCAGGGGGAGGAGGGAGGGGAAAAAACCTACTAATGGGTACTATGAACATTATTTGGGTGCCGAGCACACCTATAGCTGAGACTCAAGCATTGCAAAACCGATCCATGTAACCTAAAACATTTGTACCCCTGAATATTTAGAATTTTAGGAAATGTAAATTAAGTTAAAATAAAACTAATAAAATAGTTCTAGGGTACACCTGGATCCATACTAAGTGGCTCGTCAAGCCAGATGCTTCCTTAGTGAGTTTGGAGACTTGGTCGTGAAT